TCTATATACATAATTGAAATTTGACTGTATTTTACAAAATACTAGTCTACTAAAACACAACCAAGACAAGTTACTTTGCACAGACTAAAGGTCAGTTTTATGTTATTTGATATGGTAACATGAGTGCACGTGAGCCACGTCATTGTAACTACTGTATTGTTAGCAAGGCACAGCTGAAAGGTCAATATAATAAGAATAATAAATATATATATATATAAATGTATAATGTTATTAGATTTAAGCTATTTAGTCTAAACATTTATGTTTTTGTGTTATAATTTGTGTTCATTCTAGAACGAAAAGGCATAATTTATATTTACTTCATAAATTTTTTTATGGTTGTAAGATCGTTCAAATCTGCCAAACCCATACAGAGATTAATTACTGAAAATAACAGATAAAGTATAAAATTTTTTCTTAAGAAATGTTTGATAACTATCTCGGCATTATAAAGGTTTTGGATGTGAAATTTCAAAATTATCTGATAAAAGTATTTTTAATCTTAAAATGAAAACTACTTTGCATGATAGATAGGCAACATGCAAAAAGAAAACAAAAGACATGAGAAAAACATTGCTTTATAAACTTTAAGACTTAATAAAAAAATTTATATTTTGCATATGAAAGCATAATTAACATTCACTTACTAATTAAAAAGTTATAGCATGAAAACTATAACAAGCACAAGGTCCCAGACTGAAAAAGTTAAGCAGTTTTTTTTAGTCCAGAATAAATCTTAACAGAAGTTTTGTCAAAATAAGATTCTAAATCTAAACACTTTAAGTTGAGTTTTATTTTCTAGGTGATTTTAAAGGGGAATAAAGACTTAATGATGTTATGTACATTGTAGAAAAAAAAAGAGGGCTGGAAAGGATTAAGTACTTCCTGAAATAATAATGTGAAGAAATTATTTTAAATGGGTAATTATTTATTGATTTCGTAGTATAGTCTCACAAAATGTTTCATCTCTAAGCAAGGCATTTTCTAATTTAAATGAATAATATGTAGAAACTACATGTATGGTGTCTCTCACTCATCACTAGTCACTGTGGTGAGTAAAAGTTGGCTCAAAAATATCATACATGTAACTTATACTCCACCACTATAAAAAAGTGGCCACCTTCTTTTGATTTTCCCTTGTCCCGGCTTACAGACGAGGGGTGAAATTCCCTGAAAAAAGTACAATGCTATGACAAATGGTGAATCGAATGATAGATTAGGCTTTGTATATATTATTAGTATGTAGAAACTGTTAGTTACAAATTTTCTGACAATGCCATTTTTAGCTGGTGATTTGTATGTTTACACTTAAAAGTATAGCAGTTAGAGGTGAAATGTTGTGTAATATGATGTTAAATTTTAATGACCTATTTGAAACTGTTTGTGTTATAAGATTTATACATTTATTGTATCACCTAAACAAACATTATTTCTGAACATCACTATTACTTAATCGACCACTAAATCAATTTGAATTAAAGCTAGTGCAACAGGTAATAGTATGGACTTAGCTTTTTGCTCCTTAGTATCTAAAATTGGGAAATTCATCGAATAGAAGTTTTTATAGAACTAAGTTTCATTCTTCTTTCTTTTAGCAGAGGATCAAGTTTATATACAGTTGCTACTAGGAAAACATCAGATTGTAAATTTTTCTTCCTTTATAAGAAATAACTTTCAATTTTTTTTCTTGAAGTTTACTATCAATTGTATTATAGGAGTCTGTCATTTGGGTCCTAATCTTTTCATATTTGTTTCTTCAGCTATATAGTTCCTAATTACATGTGAATCGTCTTTGTTCCTCTCTCATGTAACTGTTATTATTCTAGATGTTTGAAAACCTCAGTGACAGCAACCGTAACGCAGATCAACGAACACCCCCACTCGTCCAACCTAGAGGTCGCTGGGCACAAAGGTTGGATGGGCAAGGATTGATTGTGAAGTCATATCTTAATTCTGATTCAGTTATTCCTTTCCCAAATATTCCAAGTATGAATATTTTGAAAATATGATAATTTATAAGTTCAGAAAAACCCTTTTCTAAAATGATCATTAAAAGATTAATTTATGATCATTTATTGTTCCGTGTAATTTTTCATTGGTTAGCTATATTTTTGTCAGTAGCAAATAATTTGTAGGGTTTGGGTGTTGTTTATTTTGAAAATACCTATGTTTAGTAAAAAAAAAAAGGAGTAAATTTCAATAAACAGAAAATTGGAGGTCATTAGAAGGTCTGTTAAAAGACATAAATATAGTTTTAAATAGTCTTCCAGTTTAGGACTTTTGAGGGAAAAAATGCTATTCACTCTTAGTAAATGTACTAAAGATTCAGTTTTGTTTTTCAGTATAACCTGTGTGAGTAATTATTGAATTTTGTGTGTCTTTTAGTAACTTTTACTTCTGTTTAAAAAAGGACAAAACAACTAATATCTCTCTCTCGTTTAATATGTTCATTATATTTATGTTAGAAATGAATAATTTTTTGTTAATAAAATTTAAAAACACTAATATCGCTTCATTGACTGCCAGTGGAAGTCTTTATTCAAGAGTCTGACCTCTCAAGGTCTCCTTCAGTATTTAACAGTTGTATAGTGCTATATATTGTTTGTCTTTGATAGCAAACAAATGCCTATATACCAGCAGTAGATGGGCCAGCCTACATCACTGATAGCTAGAAGTGGACTTCTAGGCAATATGCCTCCTTTGTTAGAAGTTCCTACTTAGAAAATCTTGTTCAGTCTATAATATTTTACTAGCAGAGACCCGCAAAACATTTCTGGCCAAATTAGTATCTTTATCGTAATAGTACTACTTTAAATATAACATTTCTAGTACAATACAAACGAATTGTAATCGTAGACAATGAAATGTGTAAATCCACTTGTATGTAGGCCGTACTTTATAAAACTTTAACTTATGTTAGGCCTAAGTTTGATAAAAAGATAAATTAACACTGTAACCTGTGTACGTTTTTCTTTAGTTTAGTTAGGACTAAACTGTACTGTACTTAATACTATTGATAAATAAACTTATAATGTTATCCTACGACCTAACATCAAACCTTTTTCAAAAACTTTGATAAGTTTTTAATATTCTGTTGTACAAAATGCTTATTAAAGTATATTTATATTCCCCTTTTCTTGTGACTTCTTGTTTCATACAGCAATTGTAGTGACTTGATCACTGGGCTTTGCAGCTCTCTGCTGCAGGCAGACTGTTTGTTGTCGAGTGAATAATGAGCATGCGTGGTTTTTCTTGGGGAAACATTCTAACTACGCTTGCTTATGCAGCAGGTTCTCGGTCAGAAAGCGTAACGCTCGTACATACAAACAAGCAGAATAGTAGTATAAATAATTTTACCAATCATATTGCCTTATTGAGTCCGCCTCTTGCTGAGGAGACATAGTTTCACACTCCCTCATACGGGTATGTAAGCCTTTGCTTTCTGTTAAAAACAGCCAGTGTCTGGCAGTGGTGTGTCACATTAACTTTTTTGAGCTGGTCTGTTTTATTTGGTCTTATATCGACTGTTTACATTATCTAATAATAATCTAGTGCCTTTTTTTGTCAGACTGATTTAGTTTTCACCATGTCTTTAGATCAACAAGGAGAGCCAGATTTATCTAGTATTCAATTCAGGCATCAAAAAGAATCTCTTACTCAGCAGAAACAGGTAAAATGTTTTATGCTGTCAAGATATATTATGAAAAGTAATGCTTAAAACAATTTATCTGTAACATTGTATCTGTTCTTGTATAGTATATTTCATTAACAGAATTCAAGTAGAAACATAATATTTTAGTAAAATAATTTCAGGAAATAAGATTAACTTGGGTAATAATCTGTGCTGCATGGCTTCAGGGAAGACTTTTTTAACCAGAGTATCTCTCTGTATAGGCCCGGCATGGCCAGGTGGTTAGGGCGCTCGACTCGCGGGTTCGAATCCCCGTCACACCAAACATGCTAACCTCCGCCTTTGTCTGGTCCCAAGTCCAGGATGAGAAAGCAGGAGGGTTGGGCGTGGGGCTAGCAACTCCACCCCGTAAAAACCAACCTGCTACAAGTAACTGCAACAACACCTTCCGTTGGCGAGGTGTTGTTGCGGCCTATGCTCCACTGGGAGTTTACAGGAATAATAATAAAAAAAAATCTCTGTATTAGTTATTATCATGTAATAAGTATAATCTGGATGACATGATGTAAAATAATTCATAGCTTTATATTGACTTTGACTTTCTAATGTATTATTGTTAATAACAACACATATTAAGGTTTGAATGAATGAACTGATTTAACAGATTTATTTTTTATAAAGGACAAGTATAGACTAGTCAACCATCTTTACAAACTTTTTCCAATTTCTGTGCTTTTTAAGAAAGTAACATTTGCAGTATTTCTAACTGTTTGATTAGCAGGATAGTAATTATGAAGAATTTGAAGTTTCTGAAGAAAGCATGCAGGAAATCCAATCTGGCAACTACCAGAAACAGGTAAAATGTATTTGAATAGTTACACTTTCAATTTTCAGTGGTTTTAATCATTAAGTACTGTTTTTATTGGGTAAAGCTCAAAAAACAGATTATGAAAATAAGCAGTGAAATAATAAATATCTGTTAGTATTGTTTGGGTACATTAATTAACATGATTTCTAACTGTAAAAAATATTACTTAATGCCTTTATTCTTTGTGTACTTATAAAGAATTTTTAATTGTGTAACATCTGAGCCACAGGTCTATGTGCTCCCAAGAAACTAGCAAATGTTGAGAAAGCAAACTGACATAGTGGCACAATTACTTTTTAGGGGTGGTTTATCAGGTACTTCTTATTTCTTTAATACTGTTTATGACATCTGTTGTATTTTTCATAGCGTGTTATTTTACAAGGAGCATGGTTACAATGTATTTAATAATTTCCAGAAATCTAACTTCTGGTAATTAAAATTTTAGTAGCTAGTAATTACTACTTTTTATTTTAACTATCTTGAAATACCCTGAGTTATATATTTTTTTCATTTATAATATTGTATCATGATATATCAGTGGTGAAGTTTTAGTTATGTTAATTTATATTGATATCTTTTGTTGTGCTTGATGTAAATATAGCTCTTTTCTTTATCTACAAATATACAGAGGGTCCCCATTATATGTCGTAATGCACTCCAGGAAAGTGGGGCGTACATCTGAAAGAGTGTTAAGCAACACAATCTTTACATGTATTATGGGGGGATGTGTTCCACATAAATTTTGGTCCACTCTTGAATAACTTTTTTAAAGGGTGTAACTACAGCGTAACATACAAAACATGCATGCGAATGCAACGTGTTTACATCCTCCGCCATCTTGACAAGGCAATGTTGCTTCATACACATATTGGTAGTATAATACTGTACAGTAATTGATGAACACTATGCCTGGTAAAGTAGTCAATTGACCAACTACGTGATATCTTTCCTGTGGAAATGAAGCTTGTAACCAAGCAAGATTGACAGCTAATAAAATTATGCTTTGTCAGAACACTGACAATATTATAGTGAGTAATTTATTGGAGGGGTGGTGAATAAATTAGAGCAGAGGGGATGCATAGAAAAAAAATGTCCTTTCTCACACTAGGGGAAATTCAGGATTTTTTTAAAATAATGCCTTATAAAATTAAGAACTTAAAACTTGTATACTTTTAAAATATGGATTATTAGCTACAATGCTATGCTATACTAATTGGTATGATTTAATCAAAAATTTGTTTAATTATATTTTGAATGTAACTCACTAAAACCCTCATGACATGTGCAATAAAGGATGCCTGGGCAGAGAGGATGAATACTAGTAATGAAACAAGGCCACATTGTTTGATACATGGGTAGTAATTGGTGAATGCTTTAATAATGAAACAGCACACAGTGATGCAACATATAACAGGAATCCACTGTACATAATATAACATAATAATGGTGTGTTTGACACAGATAATAGGACGTACCACCTTGAGGCAAGGAAGAGAAATCCAAATCATTTCACCATCAGGGGCAAAGAAAGACCCAAGAATACGTCACCCAACAGATTCAAGTAGTGCCAGCAGTCTGAAACTTGAGGATGTAGAGGCTGAGGATGAGCGGTCTGACACAGAGATCACTGAAGGTAGTGAGGCTGTGTACTACCTTCCCTCAGGAGACAACTCAGAGATGGGAGAGAGGTAAAGATTATATTGTTAACCATAGTAGATGCTACTCATTTCAGTCTTAGTGAAATAATTACGATTTTTAACTCCTGATTACACCATTATGATTATCATAACCTTTCAATTTTAGTTTGTTCACATTTTATGAGTTTGGTCTGGCATGATCCAGAAAATTTGTTATGGGGTTAAAATGAAACAACAATGCCATCAGATCATTGTCATTTAAGTGTTTGTACTTCTGTATTAAACTATACTCAGACACTTTCATAACACTGAATAAAATATCAGCCAATCAGAAGTATTGATAGTCAGCCCATTCAGAAGTTGGAACAGCCATAGTAGTTTCTAATGAAAGATGTTGAAATGAAAGCCATCTAGCTGAGAATATACATCTGAAAAAACATGGGGGGGGGGGGGGGG